TTACTGTACAGCAGAGCGACACCCACTTGCCCACCTTTTTTTCTATAAATATCAATTAAGTTTTATCTGTTGGTCCAAAAAGTGTAAAAATTTAATACAAGACTGCTGATATATTGTTACAATATTAGTTGAAAAACATTGAAAATACATATTCACAATTTTTTTTTATAAGCACTTAAAGATCGAATTTTGACAAAATGTATGAAATTTAAAATTGAATAATTATTTTGTAGTGTTAAAATGTTTAACTTTTATAATATCTAAGGATTTTAAATTGAAAACAAGATTCCACATAAGTAGTAAATTCTGTTACCAAATAATTTAAAAAATACCTAAGCGCAGTTTTTTTTTATAGTCATTTTAAGTTCAAATTTGGACGAAACTACATAAAAAACCTAGAATAACTATTTTAGTTATTTTGTTGTGATTGTATAATATTATTTGTGGGTACTTAAAAGTTGAAACTTCTAAAGTACACTATTATATATCTATGATAGTATCAGGGTTTGTTGTTGATGTATAACGCGTTATAAGTACCTAATGGAATCCATTAAATGGATATTGTGATATGATTAATTTGGAATTGATTATAGGTCAATTTTTTTTAATACCATAGATAAGTATATAATATGTCTTATACGTAGACTGACAACCGTCTCAGACAAACCTCTCAGAATCCTTTTTCTTATACAATTATATTATATTATTGAATTCAAATTTAATACCATCCATTTACAGTGACCCAGTTGTAACCTACTGTACAGCAGAGCACCTTCTTTTTATCAAAATCCATAAAGCTTTAACAAATATTTAGTATTTACCAATGTTAAATACAATCTTTTTTTTTTATTTATTCTTTTAAAAATATAATTTTCTAAACTGAACATTTTTCAAAAAAAACTATAATAATCTTGTTTCTATGGGCAACTTCAGTGTAAATAATATTATTTACACTGAAGCTGTTTTATAATTCGTATTAATTGCATATCAGTCTGTTCTATGTTCTATCAGTACCTATATTTGTTACAATGAACATTAATTATAATACAGTGCAAAACTTATTACGTTCCTTAGTTTTGTATACCTAATATACCTATAAATATCAGATCAACATTATGTCGACTAACAAAATCGTGAAGAGTTCGTCCGTCGTTAATAAACAGTCCGCCACAGAAATCATGATCCAGGTTTTTGAAGACTTCCGGGAAAATCGGCCTAAAGTGTTGGAAGAGAGTGTGGTCACCAGTTTGAAGCTTCACAGGCGATACTCATCGTTGCCAAACATTTCGCTGCAGTCGATTTCCACTTTTGAATCCCCTCTGTCCAAAACCTCTTCAATGACGCAAGTATTTAGAGATCTGCTTGAAAATCGTCCGATAACAATGAAAATCGACGATATCAAGAGTTTTCAAAGGCGAAACAAATCGATGCCAATTATTTTTTTCGAAAACAGATCGTGTGTAAAAATTCCCGTTCTATTTGAATTGTTCTTTTGTTTTTCTCGGCACTTTTGAAAACTACTAAAAAAATTATACTCTTGACTCCCCAAAGTACCAAAATTCCATAGATGGATAATTACGAACGTTTGGATGTATTTTATAAGGATTTCGCAGAATTTCTGGCAGGGTAGTCATACATAAGTACATAACACATTAACACACACACATATTACGTATATATTCATATTCACATCTAAGTTATTAAATTAATTTGGATAGGGTAACCTCGTTTAACTACATTTACGATAGTAATTAAGTATTTTATGATTGATTATTAATTATCATGATAATAATAATGAATATTGAGGGGGAAAGTTCGCAGAGTAGTCAAGTGCCTACCATGACTTACTCGTGAGCACCACTGTGTGTATTATTTTATATTATACAATTGAGGTACTTTATGAAACACATTTATATCATATTGAAATCAATTCAATTATAATTATTGAGTTCAACGAATAGAACAATTTAACTAACGAAAAAACCTAATTAAACACAAACTTATTTTAAAAAGTTTTTTTTTCTATAAATATAAAAAAAAAATAGACTGCTCGGCCATTCCGTCCCCCATATTATACGAATATTATACCTGTTAGGTATAATATTATAGGGTTTTACCACTGGGTATCCTAACTAATCGCATGATTCATGTTAACCTATTATTTTTCACTTACCAAACCTATTTATTGTACAAAAATTAATGTATAGATTGTAGATTTATTTCAATAAAAAATAAAAAAAATTATTTGATAGTATAATCAGTAATTAATAAATGCGTAACTAAAAAAAATATAATTAATCAAAATATCTATAGGTACTGCAGGGTACACACCACACGACTTTTTTTTTATCCTGACATGATTTTGTTGGAGGCAAAGTCTGTCGGGGGGGGGGGGGGGGGGGGCAGTACCCACCCGGCCACTCTCGTAAACACTCCTATGTTCACAATAATATCATCAAATATACTTAGTAATATTATAGGCTCACTGACCGTTTTCGCTCAGAATCGTTTATCTTATACAAATATATTATATCATTGGATTCAAATTTAACACCATCCATTACAGCGATTCACTTGTATACTACTGTACAGCTGAGCGACATTCACTTTCCCACATTTTTATTTTATGAATATAATTATTATTTTCTAAGTACCTTCCTACCGTTGACAGGGTTGACTTACAACGATAGGGTGAGATGAAAAACTTTGGTTTTGTTTTTAAAACATATCAATACAATATGATACTTGTGTACTTATTCAATTTTTTTTGAAATGTCATCATACACCTATAGGAAATTTTTATTTATTTATTTAATTTTAATTTTTTAGGTAAATTTTTTTTACATTTAATACAGGAAACGATAATATTATCCAATGGCCAAACAAACGTTTCTTATATCAATTTTATTTTTTGGTTCGAACGTCTATAAGAACGACATTAATAATACATTAGCACATCATATTTTTATACCATATCAATATGTATCCATAAACCTATTACCTACTTAGGACAGTAAAAATGCTTGGATTTTCTTCAACAGTATCTTTTCTGACAGGAAATTGAATCAATCTGGTTGGTACTTTGGGGGGTCAAAAGTAAAAATTTCCCAGTAGTTTTCAAAAGCACCGTGAAAAACAAAAGAAATATCTATTATTAATATTTTTTGAATTATTATGAGTATTTGATCTATAAAAATCCAATTTTGGACAAGTAATTTATTACCTAGTACCTGGTTCCTAACACTTAAATACTTAAATATTTTAATTTTTAAGAAATTGTTGTTTTTAGTGACTTAAAATGGTGTAAAAAAACGTTCAAACCTTATGAAATAATTAGTGTCTTACATTAAAATTAATATTTAACAAGGCTGGGCAAGTTAATGATTTTTTTTAACTCAGTTAAGTTAAGTTAATATGCACCAATAACAAAAAGTTAAAAGTTAAAAGTTAATTTCATTTTAGGTTAACTCAGTTAAGTTAAAAGTTAATACACATTTTTTTTAAACTTTTTATTAAGTTAAAAAAAAGTTAATTTTTTTTTACGCATATTTTATTTTCTTACAAACCCTGAAACCCAAAACTACTTTTTGGACTATGACTAGAACAAATTATACTCTATAAAGTATATTATTGTACTTCATTGAAGTTTTCATTTCTAAAAGAAAGAACAGTAGTTACCTTACCTTATGCAAATGCCCTTATATTGATTTAAATTGTTGTATATGATGAGTAAGTATTTTTAATTATTATATTTTAATAAATTATAAACGTGCATACTGTTTGTGTCGTTCGTGTACAACGAAAAGTTCACAACTGAATAGTGTATAGTGATTACTGATAAAATTTCAGACCCACATAACATAAAATCATAATATCGATAATTGGTTTTTGTTTATTTTTAGACTTGTTGGTTTTATATTTTTTTCCGGAAATGACGACTTCAGTCGTCGATAGCAATTATATACCCATAAGGGTATAGCCATAAATCATAATGCCATATAGTCATAATGGGACTAAATTATGTCTATACTTTTATTGTTACTTGATATAATTTATTTATTTAATAATACAAACCTTTTATTATAAAATTTTTCTGATGTATCACTACACACATAGAACTCTGTAGTTATTTTAACACCAACTCGTGTCGATTTATTACACATTTGCTCGTCGTTTTTGAGCTAAGACACTTTAGCAGTTACCATAACTTTTATTTATTAAATGAAATTGACCATTTATACATTGTGAAAATTTAGAACAATTAGTGGTTGAAACAACACCAGAGAGTTTTAAAGTAACAAAATATTTCTTCAGGTTAAGAAATAATAATTCTTGTAAAATAGGATCTGATTGTTGTTAAAATATTCTATATTGGAGTGTTGAACTGACTCCCATGTTGTGTATAATTAAACCTTGTATTTACTGTCAAAACAACTACAAACTATGTTCAAGTAGGCATTTAAATGTGATTAAAACAATAGTTATCGTGAATTGAATCAAATACCAAAAAAGGGTTGATATAATCATATTATTAAATTTAAAATAACCAATATTTATGTTAATATATTTTTAATAGGATACAGGATGAAGATTTATATAGGTATATAAACCTGCATATATATATTATATATATAGTTATACAGGTACATAAATATATTATACCTGTATAAGTATAATATGTAATATAATATATAGGTACATAAACCTAAATATTAAATAAATACGCATGATGGTGTATCAATGTAATAAGTATTAACCATTATTTTATTGTTCTATATAAATACAAATGTAGTGCATATACTTAGATAGTTATATTAATTAAAAATATAGTTATACAAAAACAAAATTAATTTTAACATAAATAATATAATATACATTATACAGTAGTGAATAGATACTAAATTAAAATATTATACATATTTAGATTTTGTTGTATGCCTAGTAATAATGAATATTAAAAAGTGCAAATATATTATAATATGTTTGAACAAAAAACATTATTAAAGTGCATATCGTATTGTGGCATATGTTTTGGAATTGCCTAAAATACGGGGAACTATTGGGGTAATATCATATAATTCATTAACATAACATCCAGTTAATTTTGAGTAATTGATTGAATTAGAACTATCAATTACTACTTCAAATGCATGAAAATGATTATCGAAGCCAACTGTATAGACAGGATTAAACAAAAAAAAAGGGATTTGAGATTTTCCTACAAATATAAAAACTACCTCACCAAAAATTAATCCATCCAAATTGTTTTCTAAAACCAGAAGAATATTTTTTCTGTAATATATTCCTTTATATTCTAACCAAGAAAATGAAAAACAATCTGTTTTAAATTCCTCAGGTAATTTATCTACTAAATCTTGAGGAAATTCAGTAAATGGATGTACATCTTTTCCCAATCCTAATTTAAGATCTTGTACATCAAGACTCAAATTAGAAAGGAAACGTGCAACCATTTGAAGTTGTAATTTATATGCAAGAGTATACCCAAGATTTATTCGACATGGAATGGCATTAGCTATTGCCTTTAAAACTTTATGTTTTGCTTCAAACCGAATACTTGAAGTTAGAATAATTGGCCCATTTTTTTTTAGAATTCTGCCGTGGTGAGTCAAAAGGTGGTACTTGGGCTTTAAATTACTTTTAGATAAAACTAAAAACAGTCTATTGTGTTCAGAAACCAATGAATTTAACAGAACATCACTATCACGTTGAATGTTTGTAGTACAACATAAATCTATAATTTTATGTAAAGTTAAATATAATTTCCAATAAATTGAATCGTAGGGGACTAATTCTCCAACAATTAAACTAAAATATCTTGCTAAACATAGCATTTCTGAAGCAGACATGATGATGCAACCTTTTTTGATGTCAGAGTCTCGAATCAACGGAGGAGTATTTTTCTTTTCAGTTACACCATAGTTAAACATGAGAATTCGGTTATTAAGTTCAGCTAGAGTAAAACAATTTTGTTCAATAAGTCCAGAAATAATCAAAGCCATATCATAGCGTGCTACACCTTCAGGAATATCGTGCATGAAATCACATACAATATTGTCTGTGACATGAAAATTTGGAATTTTGTTAAAAATACATGGTTCGTTTATACCAGTAAGTGAAACATTATGTACTGCAAGGTCTAACTCATAATTTTGTACATTTCTAATAGATAGCTCAGACTCGTGACACATTTTTTTGGTGTCATCTTTGTGCATTCGGCAAATTCGACAATAGTGATTTGCTGAAAAACAACTAACAAACCCTAAAATTGAATTCAAACCCAAATTGTCACCTAATACCAAACCTAATGCAAAATAAACAGTTATATCATTTGAATCTATATTAATTGTAACGCCATTTTTCTGTAAATTAATTATTTCTTTAACAAGAGATGAAAATATTTGGTCATTAGAAAACTCTCTTCCTCTGTCATCTGAATGGAACAAATATGCTGTAAATATATTATCTAGGGATGAGAGATATTCTGGGTGAAGTCCAGCTATAGTATAGTAAACACACCCCATCTTATGTACACCAGAATGGGATCCTAAAGGATTTCCCATCTCTGCATCATCATAATACAGAAAGATTGGAAATACAGTTTTTCCTTTAAAATGTTTTTTCATTTTTTGCCAAGTTGAACCATTCAAAAATGATGATAAAATATCAGTATTATTTGACGATTCATTTATGTGTTTAGTTATTGTATGGTAAACTCCAGGAAGTTGTAAAAAATATTTTAAATTTAGTTTCATCGAAAGAAGATGACACTGTACTGGTACCATTGCAACTGTATCAACATTATTAACTGTTTTTTTTTCTTTAACATGGCCAATAACAATAGTTTCAGGTTTAAAAAACAATTTGTTTTTTAAAAAAAATTTGGTTCGAAGGTATTCAGTTTTAACGTCAGCAAAAGCATTTTCTAATAAATAAAACATGTCACCAATTTCAGAACTTTGAGAAGTATTACAATTTCTGATGATGGGCATAACTATATTTTTTAAATCTGATACAATGCCACTAGAAAATATATCAATAACACCTTCAATAATATCTTGTAATAATAAACTTGTAACATTAGGTTTCATTAAAAGTTTGGCAATAAAATTTAAAACACATTTTTTAATTTGAATACTATATATACTTTGGTGTTCATCGCCAAAATTAGAAGTTGGTGAAATATTTACAAGTTCGTTTAACAAAATAGATTCTTCTAGTATCTCATAATTATTATTTTGTGTACTACAATGTTGATTAGCACTAGACAATTTTAAATTAGTCATATCATTATAAGGAATATTTACATTTATTTTAAGCTGTGTATCAGATTCTAAAGAACATAAATTCTGATCATTAATCTGATCAGTTACTGTACATGATGATGATGAATGATGTCTAAGCAAATGTTGTCGAAATTTCTTTAATCCAATAAGCTCACGAGAACAAGAACTTTGTTTACAATGAAAAATTGAATGTTTATTTAAATTGTGATAAATTTTCAAATGCCATATTATGAGTGTAATACTTTTGTGTTGAGAACAACATAAAAAACAAATATACTTCAACATATTATTTATTAATGTAACAACTCGTACTTATTAAGAATAATATATCAACATGAGTAATAGAATATTAAGTAAACTTGTCATTTATAGATGACAAAACAGCAGTCATTAAATCATGATCCGTATTCAAACCATACAGGTGTAGTTGTAGAAACATCCACGATTCATGGCATTCACGTGGATAGGCGCAGTTAAAAGAAAAATACGACTTAAAACATAAATCAATTGCTTTCAAAGGGCAATTAAAATACCATAAATGATTGTCTACACGAACATAGCACTGATCAATAGAAAAAATATCTTTACCAGAAATTATAATGTATGGTTGTACGTGGGCACCATATTGAATATATTTGACTCTTCTTTGTTGAATCTCTGACTCCAGTTGAGTTATGTTCTATTTAAAAAAAAAATACATTAATTATATTTATATATATGAAATGTATAATAATATGTAGTATGTACATACAGCAATATGTACAATGAAAGCAGCAGCAGACTCTCCACATGAAGGTTTCCAATTTTTTTTCGCACTTTTAAGATCAGTAGATCTAATAATTGTTTTTGTAGGTAGTAAATATGGTATTAGTTGACATTTTAAAATGTTTGCAACACCAATATCTAGACAAAATGAAAATATTAAATGTATTATAATATTATGCTTTGTGTACCTTATAATCATTAAGAAAATATATTTCACTTACTCCCAGATTGTTGAACATGATCTAGTTGTTTCAGAAGATCTTTTGCAACCTTATCTTTGACCGAATTTTTCCTCACACTGACTAATCTATCTGATATAAAGATCCACTTATTTAAAAATGAACTCCAATCAGGAAATAATTCTTGTTGAGTTGGATACAAAATATTAAAATCTTCAGAAATCTATAAATGTTGAAAATGTAAATAATATGGTAGGTATGTAAAAAATATCATTGTAAAAGATACTTACTAATTCATAGCCTCTTAGACTTTTTAGAATGGGCCAATTGAGAAAAACGTCATACACTGTTACTTTAGAATCTGCATTCAATATTTCTGACTTTCTTATATTGTATGTTAATCTCCATTTATCTTTAACACTATCAAAATTAGCAGATAAACCTTCTTCCTGAAGCCACAGTTTAGCAGCTTTTAAATCATCTATACAAATAAACAAGAAGTTAATAATTTGATTACCTACCCACTAAATATTTTATCTTGGTTTATTTTATTTTTTTAGATTTTATTTTGGCTTAATAATTAAATAGAGCAATAAAATGTATGCATATAAAAGCACTGTGTTTACTGATATTACCAGAAAATACTGCAACCGGTTCAATAGAATTAGAAGTAGTTTTTTTTCTGCCAAGTTCTATTGCACCTACACTTCTAAGCCTTCTTGCTACATTTTTCCATCTTTCAATGAGCTTCCCTTTGGCATGACATTGGTGTGTTCCTTCAGATTTTGAAGGAATAAAATAAACTCTCTATAAACAAATAAAAACTTGAGTTGATTATGATTACTAGTTGTTTTTTAAAAACATTATCCAGAGTAATTTAATTTGCACAGTGTGTAAATTGAATTTATACTTGATAACCTAACTTATTTTTGGAATATTAAAGGAATTTTACTAGGTTATAACATACATAATATGTATTATAAATTATATAAAATAAATAAAGAAGTATAAGATTATACAACTACTTACTTCTTTTTCCTGAGGAAATACTTCAACAATAAGTTTGGAAATCTTTCGGAAATATAAGTCAGAACCCCTATAACAAATGTTATTGCAATAATCTTGTGAACGTATACATTTTACTATAATTATTAATTTATAACTCAAGAAATTACTTATATATATTATATAGGTAGTTATAATATGGCAATATTTTAAATCACTAACACTAATTAATTATGATAGATTTCATGTTTTAAGTGGACTTAACATTTATGTCTTAATGTCTTATCATAGATTTAAATTAAGTATTGTATGAAATAAATGTTATAATTTGAATAGGTAGTAAAAAATAATTTTTAACTATTCAAATAATAATAAATATATTATAGAACAAAAGGTAGGTAATTTTTATTTAAATTTAACTTCCTAGCACTACCAGAATTGTTTTATACCTACTTGCATTTATCCTGAAATAAATTATTAATTAAAAGCTTGGTAAGGATGTTTTGTGCGTCATCTGACAAACTACCATTATTATTTTCTGAATCGGCTAAGATGTATTCAACCGATTTGTTGAATGTAATAGTTCTAACACTGTCTATGATTACAAATGAAAGATATTGTTATAAAAAAAACTGTTAACTAAGTTGGTTTTGAACTATTATTATAGGTACTTGAACATTCCAATTTAAAGTCTTGCAGTATGATGCAGATTTGGGTTGCAGTGCTAAATTTAAATATGTTGAGTTTATTGTTGATGTCCCAGTAAAATATGGTTGAAGATTTAACTCCTCAGAAGTTATATTTTCAATATTTAATTGTTGATTTGGAGTATTATAGGAAATGTCTTGTAATTCAGGGTTTTGAAAGGGTAATACATCTTCATCCAACTCCTATACATTTGAGATTGAATATTTTACAAAAAAAAATTAATAAATGATCCTAGATTTATAAAATACATATTATATAAACTTTTTTTGGTTTATGCAAGGCATAGAGCATGCTCAGTGGGGCCCATTATTCTTTGAAATGAACGCTAATAATAATAATATATAAGTATAATAAGTTGATAAGTTGTATTAACATTAAGATGAATTATACCAAATAAAATAAATAATTAAGTAATTAATAACCAAACACAATTCACTGGGAATTGATTTTATTTGTATGAGATTTGTAACTAGGTATTTATTTTTTAATCTTACAAAATATGCACCTGTGCTGTGTGTTAAAGAAATAAAGATTTACTTTATTAAAAAATAAAATAAAATATTATGTTTATGCATTATAAATTATTGGGTGTAGTGGGTTGCTTATTGCTTAATAACTAATAACCACGGTATATAATATAATAATAATATAATATACCGTGCTAATAACTAATAAGCAATAGGTACCATACATAGATTTCTATACTAAACCAAAGTCATGTAAACTAATCTAAATACTAAATAGTCTAAGTAATTTAAGATCTTATTAATCTAAATTGATCTAAACTATAGTATAGAAATCATTGCTTAATAATTAGCAGAAACTTAAAATACTTAATATTATGTTTCCATAGTAGAGTAGGTAATCTGAAAAACACTATAGGTACATTTATAACATTTTAATATGTAAGCATAACACTTACCTGAAAAATACTTTGAACAATGGACATAATTGCAATTTAATACTGGTAACAGGTAGGTAATAGGTATTACTTATTTCTAACATATACAGCACAAACTTCACCAGTTAAAACTTAAAAAAGTCTCCACTGAACTTAAAACACGTGAAATAAAATGGATAAACGGTTATGTCGTCGGTCGTCAACACTCGTTCGAATTGTCTTGGCGTATTTACCGTCGTGGCGTCGTTGCAACATTAATCTCATGGCAGAAAAGTTATATTGTAAAATAATAATAATTATTGTAAACATTAAAAACTATTAATAACACTTTCGAAAAATATACGTGATGGAAATATATACGTATAATATATTATTTCTAATTGTATCACTCACTACAGCCCACATCATAATTACGACGAAGTCAACAAAATAATTAATTCAATTAAAACTTTTTGGTGTTAAATTAACAACACTGAGTTTTAAAATATAATAATATTCATTGTTGACTTAAATTCAATTTTTGTTAAACTCAATTATTAGTGTTTTTATATTGAATCAGTCTATTGTGTTTAAAGTAATAGCTTGTATGAATTTCGCATAAGTATTATTGCACTTAATATTCAACTAATTAAATGCCAAAACTACACATATTATACTCAAATTGAATTGTATTGTTTATTTATTTTAATAGTTGATATTATGATTTTAATTTTCCAATCAAGGTTATTTTAACAATGTTAAGTTGTACCGTAGTAATATGATGCTGTTGAAATAATACCATTTCATTGTTCACTCAGACACACATTTCGTCATAACAACTAACATAGTATATATTAAATTAAAATAGTATAAATCATTTGAATTCATAGTAATTGATTATTAACGTAACACCTATAAATGTTTATATGACATTAACAAATTTCGATACAATTTCTTCTCAACATTTGTTATGAATTCTGATTATAGTCACGAGAAATGTTTTGGGTTAACACTTTGAGAGAGTTATTTTGAACTCATTGGCCACTGACTTTAAATATCAGCCCATCAACACTGTAAAATAGGTTAATATAACTCCTAAATTTCTATGTGTGTATACAGGGTGTTTCTTTAGATTACAGAATGATTGGAAAAATATAAAATTTTTAAAAATTAACTTAACTTATTCCGTAAAATGAAAATAAACTCGTTAATTTCACTTTAATTAAAAAATAAATTTAATAAGTTAATCGTTGAGTTAATGAATATCCAAAACTAACTAGTTAAGTTAAAAAGTTAAGGTAAAATTAACTTTTTAACTTAACTTTAACTTTTTAACTCGTTAATGCCCAGGCTTGCCAAGTCTGGGTAAGTTAACTATTTATTTTAACTCGTTAAGTTAAGTTAATATAGAAAAATGTAAGTTAAGTTTAAAGTTAAAAGTTAACTTCATTTTTTTTTAACTTGTAAAAGTTACAAGTTAATTAGAAAAAAATGTAACTTAACTTATTTAAAAATAAGTTACTTTTTTTTTTTTAAATAAAATTAACAATTATACCTACCTAACTTTTTAAAGCTAACAAATAACATTATAAATCAAAAAATGTCTTACAATATTTGAATAAATATTTGTAATAAAATTAGTTACTGTAGGTAATTATATTAATTTTGTGTATTATACTTTAATTAGGTAAATAGTAAATATCACGCTACTGCGGGTATTATTTGCATCGACGGGTCAAGTTATCGCT